TTCTCTATCATCCTTTCTAAGTACCGGGTGGTTTGGTTGGATGAAATTGGAGGAACTACTTCTTGAGGTTGTTCTTTTTCCATATTTTCATTCATTGCTTCTTTGGTTACAACGTATAAAAGATAAAGCAAAAAGTTTACAACTTGCTAACATGTTGTCAATGTCCATTCTGAACAGAAAACTATTTTTGAGGTGGGTGGGAATCAAAACATGGCCTACAGACCTGAAAATTCGCAGGTGATTATGTTTCAGTAATGGTAACAATATGGCAGGGGTGCACAAGGAATGTTTGAAAAAATTTGCAAGGGCCTAATGATAGTGACAGAACTATGCCGGAAAACTACATCTGCCATCACATCGCTATAAAGTTAGTTGAGGTTGGTTGGGTAGGAGGTGCTCCTCACTTCGCAAAACAACTTTAAAGGGCAAACATGAAATCGGCTGAGTATGAAACAAAATAAAATGTGTCACATCCTGCTGGTTATGCAAAATCCTCATAAAGCTAATGTTTCTGTATGTTTATGTGGCAATTTGACATGTATTAGGTAGGGTAGTGCTAGGGTACTGAACCAAATGTACTCATTAAAAAAAATGTTCTTCTTCTGATGCCTAATCTTGGAAAGGTTCGTTCTTTTGTACATATTGCTAGGATGCAAAAAATATTTTAATTGTAGAGGAAAGCAAGTTCGTCTTTCACAGTGAATGGATATTACTGAGATGCTTCTATCAATGAGCTGCTTTGACGTTAGGCTTCTATTTTATTATTCTTTTGTTTCATTTATGGTCAACATTAGCCAACCATCCTTATAAGCTTTACCCAAACTCTGCTTTGGGTATCTCAGGATGAGAGAGGGATGGAATTTGCTGCCCTAAGGAACCAGGTGATGTGTTCGTTGTTATGTGCCCAGTACTATGTATACTTGGAGTGTGCAGCTGCATGCGGCTTTTCCTCCCTTCAGTTCCTTTTATCAAATATACTGTTAGGAACATGGTGAGGGTTCTAAGATCCATCTTTTTAAAACCCAACAAAATTATCTCCTAATAGATTAATAATTTAACCTCTTATAATATTTATATCTTGGTCATAAAGACATTACATGGAGTGCAAAATGAAATGTTAGAAATATCACAACAAAGATTGGTTTTGAAAGCAGAACATATCATCATCCGTATTTACTACAAGATATAACTGCAGGAAAGATGGGCAAGCAAAAGGTTAAGAGGTGAAAGAGTTAAGTTGCAAGTCCCATTATGTTGGGACTTCAGACACATACAGCAGTATGGATGTTTTGAGATGCCCTTTACTTCAGTCTCAAAAAATCTCAACACACATTTATTTTTTTGTATGGCTTCTTGACCATCCACACAAGTTTCAGTGCTGCCTGCTTTGGAGAAGACACTTAATTACACACCTGTCTGCCCACAAAATCTGAAGAGCAGAGAGCAAAGTAATTTCTTCACCTCCAGCCTGACTCTGAGAGATATTGTATGCCTGCCACTGCCAATGAGACTAGAAGAGCTCAGAGCATCTTTAGTCAGGCTTCAAAGAAGTGGTGTTTTGAACCTCACTAAGCCACAATACTTCAAAAAGTATTCTATAAATAAATAAATATCAGGGACATTCTGCAAGTAAGTACTTCAGCGCTTCACAGGGAACACTGTGGATGCATAGCAGTTGGACTATTAACTAAATTAACATGAGTTAAATCTGTCTTCTGGAGCCTGACATTCCACATTTAGCACCAGTTGAGAAGTGTTACTTTCCTTAAATAATAAACTCTAATTTCAGTGACATTATGAAAGCAAGGATGTGTTGGTTCACAATTTTCCCTAAGTCCTAAGAAAGGAGTTATGCTTTATCTCATCGGCTTTCAACTTTGGCCCAAAATAGAGATCAGGAATATAATGGCCATCCAGGGTTTGTTGAACTGCACTCCTCAGCATCTCTTGCCATTAGTTATGCTGCCCAGAGCTGATGGGAATTGTAGTGCTAGAATATCTGGAAGGCTGCCCTGCCCCTATCTGTTGCCTAAAGCAGTGGTTTATATTCTTGAGTCCCAAGATGTTCTTGAACTTCAACTCCAAGAAATCCTGGCCAGCACAACTGGAAGTGAAGGGTTCAGGGAGTTTTCTTCTAGGGATACCTGGATCCAACGTTGGGAACCTCGGGCCTTAAGGAACATCCTTGATATATGTCCAAGAAATGGTCAGCATTATTTGGGCTGAAGAAACATTTGAAAGGATACCAGAATAAGTTTTTAACAGTAAGGTTTGCTTGCAGTCTTACTGTGCATGCTGGGGAGAAACAGTGCTCTACTATGGCCTGGTCCACATTCAAAATTCCCCCTTATAATGTGGTCCATCTGCTAGAGCTACACAGTTAAAATAACACATATGCTGGGTGCTCTGTTCTGATACCGTGGTGTGGTAAAAGCACATGAGGATGGTCATTCCTTCTTGTCAGTGGGAATTGGGATGTCTGGAGATGGAGGAATTTTGGAGGAATTTTGGGTGTAGGAAGTAATTTTCAGATAATGATGAGCACCTCTCAGATCTTTCTTGAGTTCAGAATCTAGATTTTTTTTAATGTGTTATGATCACAGAAAGATTCATTAGACCATTGAAAATCATTTGTCCTGCTATCCAACACCAAAGAGGTTGAAGTAGCTTTGATTTTTGAGGCTCCCTTTTTCAGCACCTTCCAGAAGAATAATCCATAATCATATTTAAATGTTAAACTTTTTTTTTACAATTCCCGTATCTCTTGAAATCTACTTTTGGTGGAGATTCCAATCTATGTTCATTTAATTACAAACAATGGGCAGAGCAAGCCTAAACCTGTCATGCAGCCCTTGAAGGCGATGTGGATGTCCACTTCCACTGCTGAGGGTGGGCAGTCCATTCGAGACACTTTGTCCATGTAAAACTCTAAGGGTGTAAATCTCACTCTGTCCCTTGTCCAAAGAGAATGGAAAGCAATGAAATGGAGTGGGATAGGACAGAGGCAGCCTTAGATGAATCCAAAGTCTTTAGTCAGAGAAGCCCTAAAATTAGGGCCCCCTCTGTGTCAGCCCAGAGCTGTCATTGACTAATCTTTCCTTAACCAATGGGAGTAATTAAAAAGAAAATCTGACCTATTTCATCAAGTCATTGTGGGAAATAGTAGAGCCTGTACTGTGCCTTCAGCTCATTGGAGGAGAAGTAAGATATAAATAACAGTAAATAAAACTGTGCATGAGTCCACTCGGGAGTGGTACAGACTGAAGGTGCTTTGATTGATTGCTTCACTTTCCTGCCCATCACCCCAACAGAAGTTTGCACTGCCATTCATAATAACCACAACCCATGAAGACCTATATAATCATTCTTGAAGAAGCAACATGTTTTTCACCTGCTTCAAATGTTTTCCAAGTCATTGTGGGAAACAGTAGAGCCTGTACTGTGCTTTCAGCTCATTGGAGGAAAAGTAAGATATAAATAAAAATAAAAATAAATAAAACTGTGCAAGAGTCCACTTGGGAGTGTTACAGACTGGCAGTGCTTCAGTTGATTGCTTCACTTTTCTGCCCATCACCCCAACTGAAGTTTGCACTGCCATTCATAATAACCACAACCCATGAAGACCTATATAATCATTCTTGAAGAAGCAACATGTTTTTCACCTGCTTCAAATGTTTTAGTACATCAGCATCATTGCCATAGCTTAGCAACTTGTTATCTAGAGCAACTGGGTGGCATATCAGCTTTGGAAAGATTATATCTTCATCACCCCATAAATCTTATCAAACTGATAATTGCCAAGGCACAGTTGTCAAGGCTTTCATAAAAGCATTGCTGTTCCAGTGCTATTTCACTGAAGCAAGCTTCTTTTAAAAGTCTTGATGCTATTTTGTGTACACACACACACACACACACACACACACACACACACACACACACGCACACACACGGTCCTTTCCTCACTAAATCTGTCACTACGTGTAGGAGGTGTGTGAAATAATTTAACATTTGGGCCAAAGAAGTGGACTGAAGTGCGATTTAAGCAGAATAATGGCCAATAGAATTGCAGCAACTATCCCTTCATTATAGCTACAATCCTAGATGCATACTGTCATCTCTTGGACATACTGATACCCTTGAAAGTTGAACATGTTGCAATAATTCTTCAAGGGTATCAGGACTTGGCATAGACATAAATTGCACCTACAGGAGCTGGTTTGCCTTTTTCTCTATCCTTTTGATTTTGCCGTGGTTTTATTGTCACAAATATTTGGATTTATTTCCTGATATTTTACTTGATATTATGTGGAAATGCTTGATACTACGATGCAGCACTTTTTCCCTTTGTAGCTTTCCAGACATAGACTTGTTGGAAAGGATTCCATCCTTTAATACACTGGACCAGTTAATTGAAGGTGTTGTGTCTTTGATTGTGAGAAGAAGGAACATGTCATGGATTATCTATTGAGTTGTCCTTTAAATAATCTCCTTTTGGTACATTTCTTTCTAGACTTATAGCACCTTGCCAAAAGGCCAAGCCTAGAGCAGGTCTCCTTTCTTTTTGTGGGCAACTATTTACTACATTGAAAAATGCAAAAATTCTTATTCTTGAAAGTTACATTCTTTTAATGTCTTTATGCATGTTAGTTAATACTTTAGAGGTATATCTCAAAAAAAAAAACTCAACTTTTTTTTCATAGCATGCTTGCCTATATATGTCTGCATATATTTGTGTGTGTTTTTATTTTTGGTTTGTTAGCTGAAAAGAGTAATACTTCTATTGTAGCATACATGTTCTTTTCCTAAATATTGGATCTTTTTTTCTCTCTTTACATGAAGCGAGTGGATTATAGTTTGAATACTATTTGTCAGCTACTTTTATTTAAAAAAAAGAACCTGAGCTACTCCAGTATTTTTAATATTAGCAGGTTTCATTTCTAAATATTTGAAGTCTCATCATAGTGTGGCTGATATCCCTTAATTGGATATATTTCCACTAGGATGTGTTGGAAGAATGGCTGACTTGTCAGCGCTCCTGGCTTTATCTGGAGCCCATTTTCAGCTCTGAAGACATCAACCGACAATTGCCAGTGGAAAGCAAACGCTACCAAACTATGGAAAGGATGTGGAGAAAGATCATGCAGAATGCTGATGAGAACAGAGAGGTGAGGTGATATGTATCTTCATATTGTGAAGTGGCTCCAGGGGTCCCTCTCTAGCCACTGAGCCACACTACCCTGTTTGTCCTGGAATGGGTGGCTCAAGGAGAGTCAGTTGTGGTGATGGCTATGGAACCTGCCTGGTGCCGGTGTTTTCCCCCTCTCATGGATGCATGCCAGCAGGAGACAGAACCAAAGTCAGTAGCTAGAAGAGTGAGAACCAAAGTGGATCGTTCCATTCTTCTCCCCAACCTTTTGTCGCTTGGTCATTAGTGGAGGAACCAATTTCTCTTACCAGAAGTCTGTACTGGTTGCTTGCAGAGAGCATTTGCAATCAGGCCATAGGCTGCTGGCTGCCCATTCCTGCCCTAGACTGAAGTAGGCTCACAAACCAAAGTTGGTGATTCATGTTAACCATAGTAGTCACTCTTTGAATCTCACTCCGTGCCACTCCACTTCGTTGTGCTGGTACTAGGCCCTTTCTTTCATAGTGTAAAGCCAATATTCCTATGATCAGTGGCAATGCTTGGCCAAAATACAAACTCTCTTACATTTTTAGATGTTTCTCAGTATTTCTTCTTTTACTTCCCCATGACTAATTGTTCAGAGTCTATAAATGATCTGTTGCTGAGTGATCTTTTCCCAATCATTTCAGGTAATTAATGTATGTCCTGATCCCCTTCTTCTTTTACTTCCCCATGACTTGAGAGTCTATAAATGATCTGTTGCTGAGTAATCTTTTCCCAATCATTTTCAGGTAATTAATGTATGTCCTGATCCCAGACTTTTGGAAAAGCTACGGGAATGTAATAAACTGCTGGATCTGGTACAGAAAGGCCTAAGTGAATATTTGGAAACCAAGAGAGGAGCTTTTCCAAGGTAATTCTGTGGTTTCAGATAATTCACTATGTTTCCAGGGGTAGGAGGAAAAGAGCTGAAAGTCTCTCTGGGTACATACTCATGGAAGGTTGCTTACCATTCTCATTTGACAATGGGTATGTTCAGCCACTGTTCCATTGAGTCTTTGTATCTGAGAAGGGAAGTGAAATTCATCATGGTGACTCATGCTTTCAGCAATAGAATTCTAGGAATGGAGATGTTTGAAAAGCTTCACTACAAAGCTGCATTACTTAAGAGAAAAGTATCTCAGAGTGGGAGGAAAAGAGTGGGTGGGGGAACAGTAAAATTTAGGGTTGGTTCTTTGATGAAGAAAACATGTGGAAGTGCTATTTTTATTAGATATTCAGTCTAGCAGGTGAAGGACTATGCAGAGTTGAGGACAGTAGTAAATGAAATTCCTTTATGCATTTATTTTTATTTGTATTTATTTTAGAGCACCTCTATATCTTTTTTCATTAAAAAAACCCAAAATAGTTAGTAATGAAAATAAATACAGTATTACAGACAAATGGATAGGCTTTCACTGAATAAATGTATCATCCATAAATTATAAGGCATCATTAGTCACTTCAGACCCACAGCAATAGCAGCTAATAAAATGGTTCTACTCAGAGGTAAGTGCTTTCAGGATTATAACCAAATCGTTTAGAGCTTAGTTTTCTGCATTTTCATTTTGTAATCTAGAGAACAGGACCAAGGAGAGCCTTCTTTCTTTCCAGGTTTTACTTCCTGTCCGATGACGAACTGTTAGAAATACTTTCTCAGACAAAGGACCCCACAGCTGTACAGCCTCATCTTCGCAAGTGTTTTGAGAATATTGCCCGGGTAAATAATCACTATTCTTCCTTCAGGAGCATATTTCTGTCTGTGCTACCGTGTTTGCAATAACAGCATCAATGTACCCAAATAGGGAAAAGAACAGGGGGTACAAAATATGTCTTAAAGTGAAAGCAATATTATCTCCACATTTGCAACACAACACTATGAAGAAATATGCAATCAGTTCTTAGGGAAAGGAAAAGCTTGCAACCTGTCTGTCCATGTCACATTGAATCACAAGAAGGCACAAACAATCAATAGTCAGGTGGTATAGTCAATATTCCTTTTGTTCTTAATTTTAGAGGATAAAACTCACCTGACTATGCTGGATTGTAGTTTTCAGGGTTTCATAAGGCTTTATAAGACTTGACTCTAAAGCTAGAACTAGCACACCACTTAACAGGAAAAGATGGCTTTTGGTCCTTTTAAGGAGAAAGGTGGGATAAAAATATTTTAACTTAAAATCAATCAATCAGGCTTTCTTACCTCAGTCCATGTTAGTAAATTGCTTTGCTTTGCTTTGTTGCTTGTCATTTGGGAAATAGCACCACTTTATTTGCATGTCTGATATCTCAGGCATGTAGCTGTGAAACACTGGAGAGGCTGGAGAGATAATATTTTAGGAACAGCTGTTCTGGTGTTGTATCTAAAGTTTAAATGTGCTATCCATGGTGCTGATGCAATTTTGGGGGTAAAGTTTGGTAGCATGGAACTTTCCTGTAACATTCAGACTAAGACTCTGAGTGGACTCCTTTCCTCACTGATACTGGAGTCACATCTAATCCTTAGTGTCTTATTTTTGATGTTGTTCTGTGCCGAAAAAGATAAATGGGGGAGTGGGGTGTATCCCACACTGTTTTTCTTTTCATCTTCTCTTCTCTTCTCATTCTTTCTGGTCATATGTGGAGATGAAACTCATGGAATCTTAATTCATTGTATTTCATCAGCAATGGGGCCTCAACACATTAGATATTTCTACAGTGACTATAGTGTGGTCATGTTGATTGAATTCTGAGCCTAATTCATTTGTAACATGTTTAAAATAATTTTTTCTTCTAAAAAAGGCTTAGAAATTTAGTGGAAAAATGGGGTCAAAATGGCCTTCACACACCCCAAAGCAATTCCTGAAGAGCAATTCCTGAAATGACAAGTAAACTTGCTTGTTCACAAACATCCATCACATTATTGTTAATATTCAAGTGCAAAAGAGAGAAACAGAAAGTATTATTTAACCCCAAAACCCACTTACAATTAGGATTATAACCTAAACAAGTTGATTTCCATGCTTTGGCTAGCAAAGAGTCTGTGGATGGAAATGGAAATAAATGTTTCATAGCTTTTATATAAAATTAAACATCTTGGGAATCTCTTAATATGCCAAATGAGTTTCAATGCCTTTGAATTTGGTCAACCATTCTGGGGAAATAAATGTGATGTCTGCTTTTTTAAAAAATTGCATTTGATGTCTTATGATATTGCCATGTACAAGACAGGGAAGCTTCAGTTACTTTCCACATAGTATCTCATGCTGTGCTTCTTCTCAACAGCTACTCTTTCAGGAAGATCTCAAAATTACACACATGTATTCTGCAGAAGGGGAAGAAGTGAAGCTTTTTGTTTCTATTTATCCCACGGGCAATGTGGAAGACTGGCTGCTAGAAGTTGAGAAGATTATGAAGGCTAGTGTGCGGGACAACATTGAAAGAGCAATCAGAGTTTATCCCAGTGTAAGTGTCTTACCTTGTTTGAGAATATCTCATTGTGGAATTCAATTAAAAAACAAGCAGTATAGCTAGTAGATTACTGTAATCTTTAAAAAATAACCTTCTGGCTTTCCAACAGTATGCTTTGATATTAATTGTGGATATGACTTCATTCCTACTTCTAGCTCATAGTGCTGATTACTCCAGAATAAGCACTTTTCATCTTCTCAAAGCATTCTTTGACTATGTTGTGCAGATAGGGATTGTGGAAGTAAGCCGAATGAATCCTTTAAATATTCAGCATGGTTGCAGGGTGCAGAAACAAGGAAATAAATTACAACCCAACAAATTAAGACTGTCCCTTCTATCTTCTTATTTTTGGACTTCCAGTACCTGTTTTTCAAGCAAAAATCTGATACCATTTCTAGAAGATATTTTCTCAGACAGGGAATTGCATGGTTAAAGGACAGCCCCCCTCTTTATGTGACATCAGTTTTACTTGGCTGACAAGTGGTAAAACGAAAAGAGCATCTCAGTCAAATTTAGAGTGTGCTGCAGGCTAAAGGAAAAAGCAGGAGACACTATTGTAGGGCCAGAACTAACACTTTGAAGACAATGGAAATACAATATAGAATGGTGTAGCATGCTCCAAGTAATATGTGCAGTGTTTCACAGGAACTAAGTTTTCAGAAAGACCAAGCACAGCCCTACACAGAGTGTATTACAGTAATCTAGGCTTTAGGTTACAAAGTCATGGATGACACTTGCCATCTGAGTCAGACAGAGAGGACTGTGGTACTTTTATATTCTCAGATTTGTAAAATACTCTCTGGGCAGCAGCTTCAATCTGAGCTTCTATGAGTACTCTTAAGTTGCATAGTGCTAGGGAGATAAAACTCATTGATAATTTCAGATTTGGGCTAAAATTTCAGGTAAAAAAACCCTAGACTTTCTGTATATGGTATGCACCAACAAGTGTTATGTCATTATTCAAGTATTTTGAGAACAGTAGTATCTCATAGAAAAATGGGTAGATTGTAGTTATGCAACAATGATGAAATGGAAAGTTAACCTTTGTACTAATTAATAAGTTAATATGTTTTTCTTAGACTCCACGGACTACATGGGTCTTAGATTGGCCAGGACAAGTGACTATTGCTGGATGCCAAACATATTGGACAAAAGAAGTATCAGAGGCCCTAGAAGCTGGAGATTTATCCACCAGACTTTTTCCACAGCTAAGTTCTCAGGTAAAAAAATCATTTTATACACATGGATTTAACTTTTTCTGCAGTGAAAGCTTGCCTTTCATAACAACCACGGCATCAGGTCTCCCCCACTTGGATTTAGGCCTTAGATGTTTTAGATTTCAGCTTGATCATTTCTAGCCATGCTGCCTGATACTGATGGGAAGACAAACATCAGGAGCCACTTTTGATAGAGAATCCTGCTCTCTAGTGTAACAAGAATACTAATTAAGGTCAGATGAAAGTTGCTGTCTTTATTTTCCTTACTTATCCATGATCCGTCTACAGTACTTCAGCTGGTCCCAAAATGCAACAGTCAATTTTTTGTGTGACCTCCAGTGGCCACAACCTATAATTCTGTTTCAACTGCATTGGTTAGCTGTACATTCGTATCTAAATTTAAAGTCCTGCTCTTGGTGTGTAAAGAATAAATGGTTTTGAACCATTGAGGCACCTTTGCTCCCAAACAGAGCTAATATCTAAATTTAAAGTCCTGCTCTTGGCATGTAAAGAATAAATGGTTTTGAACCTAGTTATCTTGAGGCACCTTTGCTCCCAAACAGAGCTACCTAGATAAATTCAGCATTCTGTTTCAGAGACCCTTCCTTAGCGATCACTGTGGCCAAGAGGTAAGGATGAGAAATAAGGCCGCCTTTGTGATGCTGCTGAAGCTGTGGAATACCATCCTGGCATAGATCTGGGTAACTCCCTAAATATACTGTAGATAGAAATGTAAGATGTTTGCATTTCATCCACCTCTTCAGCCAGACTTCCATTGTAAAGGCCAGTTCAGCATGCTCATCCAGGCTCAAATCCTGGGTTGCAGCATACATCTTCCTATTTACCTACCTGAAATTTAATAGGAGGATCTTAAGATGTGGAGAGTTGCTGTCAGAACAGTCAGAAAACAGTTGGGTGGATGGAGAGCTGGGAAGGAGAACAGCATATATGTTTTGGATCTTTGCTCCTTTTTTAAAGCTAGTTTTACCAACCACACTACCTTTAGACCACTACATGTGAAATAGTGAGACCCAGTCTCTCCCTACCACTAAACTATCAATTTATTGAGGAAGTAAATTAAAAGGAGAACCACCTTCAGAACATGGCCAAGAAGCCCGAAAAACCCACAACAACCATTAAAAGGAGAACATTTGAAGCAAAAATATATGGTTATAGTTTCTTTCTTTTAAGGAATAACAGTTTCCTTACTCTCTACAGCAGATGGTTGGTTAAAGAATACCAAGCAGATCTATTTTCTCCAGGGAATTGACTGACTTGTTCTTTACCGGCACAGCTCAGTGACCTAGTAGCACTTGTAAGAGGAAAACTGTCTCGGATGCAGCGGGCAATATTATCTGCTCTCATTGTGATTGAAGTTCATGCCAAAGATGTGGCAGCTAAACTTATTGAGGAGAATGTCCAAAGTGAGAATGATTTTGAATGGATTTCCCAGCTCAGGTAAGGGGCATTCTGCTTCCTGTGATTGTTGTTATAAATGCTAGTAACATGGAGAGATTGTGGTTCTAGAGATTGGGCCATACCAAAACACAGCCTTAGATAATAAGATTAATTCTATAACCACCATCTTGAATTTTCACTTGCTTATAATTGTATTATTTTACTCAGATAAATATACCAGACAACCTTCATGCTCTCCCTAATAAAGGGCCATACAATAATATTTTTTCATCTGAGTTATCTGCCATTTGTTGAGGCATCATTGCCTTTATTTTTCCAGGTTGTGTTGGTTTTGTTGTTGTTGTTGTTTCATTGATAAAATCCTCTATGTTGACCCTCCCAACATAAAGAGTGTGATTCATGTTCTGTTAAGTATTTGCATACATACAGATCCCACAGTAGAAGCTGCCATGGAGATCTGACCAAACCACTGGCTGCGTGCCCTGCAGGACCAGCACTTCATCTGAGTGTTGTCCTAGGTTATGGAGTTGGAGTTCCATGCACAGAAATGTTGCATGGGGTACTGGCCTGTGTATTTAGTGGTGAAGTACCCAGTTTTTCTCTGTTATGCAGACAAAACATGCAGTTTACCAAAGAATAAACACTGGCCAGAATCCTACCAATGCTTGTGTAAGGAAAATTGCGTGGTTGGGTGCACGCTTATGAATGAAACCAGCACCTTATCAATGAGCAGCAAATTGCCACCTAGACTTCCGTGATGTTCTTTACGCAAGCGTAAACTATGGCTAGTACGATTCTGGCCTTTCTTAATATGACCAAAATAGAGCCAGATACTGTAGTGATGTAAAGTGATGTCGATTTTGATGTTTAAATCAACCCTTTACTCGTTCTTGCTGTTTTCTTTTCTGTACAGATTGTTCATTTCACCTTTTTATTTATCATTAGATACTACTGGACAAGAAATGATTTGTATATCCGTGCAGTGAATGCTGAATTTATCTATGGCTATGAATACTTGGGCAACAGTGGGCGCCTGGTGATCACTCCACTTACTGACAGGTAGAATCTCTTGTATATCTAATTATTGTTTACAAACTGTATTATATATTTTTAATTCTCCAACTTTTGCTCAAGCCAATGAGCAACTAAAGCACAGGGCTTTTAGTCTAGAACTCTTTGCAGAATATATGGACCCCAAACAGAACCAAGAAAAAACATTTTAGAACATGCTAGTGACAGCAATGACTTGAGTCACTGTTCAGGACGTTCAGGATAACTGTGATGTTGCATAGGACAAGGTGAGTGATAGCAGCCTGAGAACAGAGTACAGTGGTGCCTCGCTTAACGATTGCTTCGTACAACGAAAAATTCACTTAACGATGGCTTTTTCGGAGCAATCTTGCGCTTCATTTAACGATTTTCCCTATGGGCGATTTTCGCTTAACGATTTCGGGACCATGCTTCACTTAACGATGACAGTTTTAGGTCCCCTTGTTTCGCTTAATGTTTTTTTTTACAGTCCCGTTTTTGCTATTTTTAAAATATTCTAAAATGTTTAAAAAATGTTTAAAATGCTTGGAATCGTTAGTGCACCTAATAAAACATTCGTTAACTTAATTTGGCTTTGTTCTGAGTCTTTTTGAATTTTTTGTGAATTTTTTTCCCCATTGAAATAGGCTTCAATGCATTTCAATGGGTTTCGCTTAACGTTTTTTCCTATGGGGATTTTCGCTTAAAGATGGTAATCCGTACCAATTGGAACGGATTATCCGGTTTTCAATGCATCTCTATGGGAAATGGTGTTTCGCTTAACGATGTTTTCACATAGCGATTTTTTTTAATCAATTAAAATCGTTAAGCGAGGCACCACTGTACAGGAAAATGAGGACCTGATGAAGGAGTCTAAAACTGAAGACATATATTGTAGGAGAGACATGTTCACAGGGCAGCAAAAAGTCAGAAGCTAGAGACTGATGGACAGTATGATTTTGAGTCCATAGCTGGATTTCAAGAAGAAGGGGGCACTCAAGGACTAAGTCAGTGGGAAGATAGGGATAGAATTAAGCAGAGAGCATGAATTGGAAAGCGCCACCTTGAACACGTGATTCTGGAACAATTTGTCAAGCAAGGGAACTATTCAGTGTGAGTCATAGTGAATCCACAATATTTTCGTAGTTATATTGCTTGCGTAAAAGTAAAGGTAAAGGTTCCCCTTGACATTTAGTCCAGTCATGTCCAACTCTAGGGGGTGGTGCTCATCCCAGTTTCTAAGCCGTAGAGCCAGCATTTGTCCGAGGACAGTTTCTGTGGTCATATGGCCAGCGTGACTAGACACGGAACACTATTACCTTCCCACCAAGGTGGTACCTATTTATCCACTCACCTTTTTACATGCTTTCAAACTGCTAGCTTGGCAGGAGCTGGGACAAGTGACGGGGGCTCACTCCATCGTGTGGATTCGATCTTATGACTGCTGGTCATAACCCTCAGCACCACCACATCCCTTGCTTGCATATACCAAATGCATACCATGTTTCCCCCAAAATAAGACAGGGTCTTATATTAATTTTTTCTCCAAAAAACACATTAGGGCTTATTTTCAGGGCATGTTTTATTTTTTTATTTTTCATTTAGAACAATCCACATTTATTCAAATACAGTCATGTCATATTCTTCTGGTTGCTGCACAATGGTGGAGGGCAGGGTTTCACTTAACTGGGGCTTATTTTGGGGGACAGGGCTTATATTACGAGCATCCTGAAAAATCATACTAGGGCTTATTTTCAGGTTAGGTCATACTTTCGGGGAAACAAGGTAGTTAAGTGTTATAAATAATGGGAGATTTATATGTGTCTCAGAGAAAAACCAGTCAGAATCCTTTTGGCAATATACGTACTTGTGTGTAAGACAAATCACATAACTCACTGTGAAGTACCACTAACTAATTGGTCACATTATGTTGTGTGCCTGATGTGCAAACTGGTTGCACTCTCTCCCTCCTGTTCTTCACCCCTCCTTAACTCTGCCCCTCACCAACTCCTATTGGTGCATGCAAATCACAACATAAATATTAATGAGCAGGGTGAATGCTACACTAGATGACTTTGGGATTCCTTCTAGAACATAAGTTATTTGAATCTTTGTGATAGGTGTTACCTGACACTCACAGGAGCATTGCACTTGAAATTTGGAGGTGCCCCTGCAGGACCAGCTGGAACCGGCAAAACAGAGACAACTAAGGATCTTGGAAAAGCTTTAGCCATCCAGACTGTTGTGTTTAATTGCTCTGATCAGCTGGATTTCATGGCAATGGGGAAATTCTTCAAAGGGCTAGCCAGGTACATTTGAATACAATGCCACATCTGAATATCTTGTTGTTTATTTGAATCTTGGCATAACAAGGTGAATGAATGGTTTGGCAATCATATTGTCAGAATCAGGGTGATGTTGCATCTGGCAAAGAGCAGGTGGGAGCATATGAGGACTCAGAACATTTTACTTCATAGCATTTTACCTCTTATAGGACCTATTTGAGAAAGCCACAGACAGATGTTATGCTTGGAATGTGCTTGGTTCCAGAGAATGAAAATCATAAATACATAAAATAAATATTTAATTGTACCAGTTGACATAGATTAAATTGTAATTCCATTTTTAACTCATGTTTACTTTGCATATTATGAATGGAGGGCATGCTAAATAACTCCACACATAGGTTAATGTAACAAGGCAGGCCTTCTATATAGCACAATTTAACATACAGATAATACATTTTGAGAATAATGCTTGAAAATTCTATTAAGGTTTTGAGCAGAAATATGCACAAATGGCTTTTCAGATGCTAGCTGGTATCAATATACTGCTTCCTCATGTAAACCTAGTGTGGCAACCCCAGACCTACTGGAGTATACCACCCTTTAACTAAGCTGCCACCAACTGCTTCCTCATGTAAACCTAGGGTCAGCAGAAACCATTTCAACGTGGCTTGGAGCTGAGGCTCAGTATGGAAGCTGCTTTAGTTTGGAGCCATAAGTACATCCAGAAAAACCAGTTAAGGTGCTGTCAATGTAATCTGAGAGATGATCCACTAAGAATTGTACCTTTTTATAGGTGACATCTACCTTTTGAATCGCTTCCCAGCAAAATCTGTCTGGCCTGCTCAAATGATATGTTTTAAAACTGAAAAGACTTCAACTGAAATTTCTGCAATTAATTTGATTTTGTATTTTCCTCTTGCCTTCCAGTATATCTCATTGTTAAATGAATTATCTGTTTAATTTGTCATGATGTAAACACTTGTAATTGTAGTCATCTTAAAAACCTTATATTAGGATGCAGATCAAAATGTATTTTAACAGATTAAACTAGGTTTAATCCTGTTTTGGTTTTACTATGTGAAAACAAGAAAACACAGTAACCGCAAAAATCTTTATTGATCCTTGGGGAAGTCCTTGGAATGGTCCTTTTTAAAACTTCACATGAAAAACAGGGCTATTTACCAGAGTATCCAATGCACCAGGCAACCCATTACAAAATTATGGCCTTTTCTTATATTGGGTGCAATGATGCAACTTCACTTTATTGTTTAAAGTGGGGGCATAGGTAGTGGCAGTAAGGCAAATGGCTTTTAGTTTGTTGCTTTTGGCATCAAATGGTATAATTAAAAGTGCTCAGTTGAAAGAATACTGGAGTGAGTTTTGTAGAGGTGGATCCATGCTATTGTACTTTTACAGGCATTCATTGTGTGTCAAGGCTTGGGATTTGACTTTTCAGTTTTGTAATCTACATAAATACATAGTAAATATAAAACAAAGAACCAGCCTTTGCCTATTATTTGGATATACATCTGGTGTCTTTTAATTACGGCCCTCATGTGCACATATACTTGGTTAAACAGAGCCTCGTGGAGCAGTCATTAAACTGCTGTCCTGCAGCCAAAACTGTGCTTATAACCGAGGGCTCAATCCCAAGGTAGCCAGCTCAAGGTTGACTCAGTCTTCTATCCTTCCAAGGTTGGTAAAATGAGTACCCAGCTTGCGGGGGGGGGGCAATGTGTAGCCTGCATAATTAACTTGTAAACCGCCCGAGAGTGCTTGAAGCGCTATAGGGCGGCATATAAGCAGCACACTTTGCTTTGCTTTGCTTTTTTAAAAAAATCCTAAAAGCAAAGCAGAGGATTGCTATATGCTTTCCTTCGCCATGATCTCGCATGACTTTTAAGGCTAACTGAATGGCTGTAATCACTGAGTTTTTGATTACATAGTTCTCTTTTCCCACCTTAAGCTCTGGAGCCTGGGCTTGCTTTGATGAGTTCAACCGCATTGACATTGAAGTGTTGTCTGTAGTTGCCCAGCAGATCACAACAATTCAGAAGGCTCAGCAGCAGAGGGTAAGGTGTGGGAGTAAATCCTAATAAAGAGTGAACAAACTGGTACTTTGGATTTCTCCTTTTTATTTCTCGTCCTATCTTTGTCACCTATCGTCAAAATGGATGTTCACAGATACAAATGCAACTACTGTATGATCTTATTTTCCCTTTGCCTTTATATATGTGGTATGTGTGTGTGTGTGTGTAAGCACACTAACATACATGTACAGTATATACATATTAAAGTTGTTTTAAACAATTTAAAGAGCTGCCTATTTAGCTTTGAGCAACAGGACAAAACCTCCTTTCATGCTCAACTTATTACACAATCATTGAGTTGCTAATTTATTAAAATGACAAAATTGCTGAGAGGATGCTTATACAGTAGTTAATGGAATAATGAAATACATAGCAATCAGTAGTTGAGAGCTGGGTTTTTATAAGAGAGAAAGATGTTCTATACCAGACTGGATTCGAAGGGTTTCTGATGTAGCTCCTGGATAATATGCATTTTTTTTACTAGCCTAGTAAAACCATTTTTAGGATTAGCTTCACCAGTGCGGATAAGAAATAAATTCTTTTCCTTGTTGAATTGAAGATGGCTTGCTCAGTGACAGGTCATTCACTGTGAATAACTAACATTTTACTAAGAAACACAAAATGAAACAAAGGGAGGGGGAGACATTCTAGCACTTTAAAGTCGAGCTGAACGTTTTGGCGTGTAGTCTTAATATTCCAACTCTTCTTTCTGGCAAAGCGGGCATGTTCTCGAAAGCTTACATTAAAATATAGTGGTTAGTCTTTAAAGTGCACAATGCCTTTTTTTTAAAAAAATATGCTTTTGTTTTGTGTTGTGTTTCTTGATGAAATGCTTGTACAGACTAACAAGGGTACCAATTTGAAAACTATAGCTTTTCACTCTATCCAGGTGGATCGCTTCATGTTTGAAGGAGCTGAGATTCCACTGGTTCCATCTTGTGCAGTGTTCATCACAATGAACCCTGGCTATGCTGGCCGCACAGAATTGCCGGATAACTTAAAGGTAACTAAACGCTGCTGCACATGGCAGGGTGCTGCAATCCGTTCACGTGCAAATAGCCATCTCTTACTTGTCTATAAAGATACAAAACGAGATATCTGAGATAATTTATTTATCTACAACTATTTACAGAAAAAATCCCGAGTCCTAGTATTTCTTGTCTAGTGGTGAAATTTCTTTCTGGATTTCAAAACACTGTTTTACTTCACAAAATTCAGCAGGTGTGTGGTGAGTTACCAGGATTTTGAATTTTGAAAAATTCCATAAGCTTTGTCACATTGCCACAAAGAGCTAAGGATTTTTTAAAAACATATTCACATTAATAGGGGTGGTTTTTTTATACTACCCTAGTGAAGACTATGCAAAAGGATGTTACAGTATATTGTGCTCCCAATAGTAAGTACTTTCTTCATCCAATTCCTAAACATTTATAAGTATCTGGAAGAGAATTGAATTGTGGGTTCTGTTTTTATATATAAGGGTGCTACCAAAGACGTTGATGACTTTAAAAGCAGGGGGCTGTTTGATTGCTTCACATCTACATGCAATGGTTACTAAGAGTAATTACATATAGTATCTTCTCTACTCATAGTGAATATGTACATTTCAGGCTCTCTTTCGTCCTGTTGCAATGATGGTTCCAGATTACTCTATGATTGCTGAGATTTCTCTGTATTCCTTTGGGTTCAATGAAGCTAAAGTTCTGGCAAAAAAGATTACTACCACATTCAAACTATCTTCTGAGCAACTCAGTTCCCAGGTCAGTATTTCTCACTATCCAGCCTTTTCACCACTGGAAGAATTTCTAACATTCTCAGTGGATATCTCTTGAAATTCAAATTTGTGGTTATTCCTAATGTGCTGAAGCACTATTTTCTCTTTTTGTTTTCAGTCCTGTTACCATACCTGCCTTGTATCCACACTGATCCTACCTAGTCAAGATTTGATGCAGTTTTAGAAACATTCTGAGTCATGACCTGGGTTTGATCTATTGTAATTCCAATGAATTCCAATGAATTCCAGTGAATTGTTTTATGAGGGTACAGGGGGAAGGAGAGTAGGGGAGAGGAAAAAAGATTGCTACAGCTTCTAATGCATTATTCTCTGCCAAACTATCTTTACCATTGGTCACACTCAAAACATTGAATCGTAGCGTTATCTACATAAACCTTTTTTTCACTGCTTAGGAAAGAGGCTGCGTTGCACATGGAAGGGGAGATTGACAGATGGCCCCCTTCTTTTCCAAACTGATTCAATGTTTGCCCATCCCTTTCAGTTCTTGCTTGCTCAGTTGTCATTTCCCATATCTTTGCTACAGGATCACTATGACTTTGGAATGAGGGCTGTGAAGACTGTGATTTCAGCTGCTGGCAATCTTAAAAGAGAAAATCCGGACATGGATGAGGTGAGTCTTTGATAGTCTCACATGAAAGAGCGGCATGTGCAGTGTTGCATTACCACTGGGACGGCTGTTTGGACTGCATGAAAATGACAAGGGAGAAAACTCTGGAGCAGTTAAACACCACTTCTGCTATCACTTTCATGTGGGTCTCTAGCTGATACGAATGCATGCAATGGATTGCATATTCTACAACCATTTTAATCTTTTTCCCCTTCTTATTCTCTTCCCTCTTGTGTAGAAAACTAGATTGGCTAACACAGGACAAACAAGATGATGATGATGATGATGATGATGATGATGATGATGATGATGATGATGATGATGATGATAATA